TTTTTCCCGATTTCCCGGGGTTTTGCCCCGTTCCAGACCGCCTGTTCTACATCTACACCTCGGGCACCACCGGCCTGCCCAAGGCGGCCATCGTGGTGCACAGCAGGTGAGGGCGGGGCCGGGGGCGGGGCCGGGGAGGGTGTGGTCATGGGCGTGGTCAGTGATGGGCGGGGTCATTGATGGATGTGGTCACTGATGGGTGTGGTCATCGATGGGCGTGGTCAGTGAGGGGCGTGGTCATTGATGGGTATGGTCACAGGTGTGGTCAGTGGTGGGTGTGGTCAGTAATGGGCGTGGTCAGTGGTGGGTGTGGTCAGTGATGGGTGTGGTCATTGATGGGTGTGGTCAGTGATGGGCGTGGTCATTGATGGGTATGGTCACAGGTGTGGTCAGTGGTGGGTGTGGTCAGTAATGGGCGTAGTCAGTGGTGGGTGTGGTCAGTGATGGGTGTGGTCAGTGGTGGGTGTGGACAGTGATGGGTGTGGTCAGTGATGGGTGTGGTCATAGGTGGTGCCATGGATGGGCGTGGTTATTGGTGTGGTCTGTTATTGGTATGGTCATAGATGGGTGTGGTCATTGTTGGGTGTGGTCAGTGATGGGTGGGGTCATGGGAGTGGTCATTGATGGGCGTGGTCATGGGAGTGGTAATTGATGGGCGTGGTCACGTGTGTGGTCAGTTATTGGTATGGTCAGTGATGGGCGTGGTCATGGGAGTGGTCAGTGATAGGTGTGGTCATGGGTGTGGTCAGTGGTGGATGTGGTCAGTGATGGGTGTAGCCATGGATGGGCGCGGTCATGGGTGTGGTCAGTGGGTGTGTCCGTGGGCGTGTCCCTGGGCATGTCCCTCCCTGTCCAGGTGTGCTCTCTCTCTCTCTCTCAGGTGATATCTCTCAGGTGTGGGTGTGTCCATGGATGTGTCCGTGGGTGTGTCAGTGGGTGTGTCAGTGGGTGTGTTCGTGGTTGTGTCCGTGGGTGTGTCCGTGGGCGTGTCAGTGGGTGTGTCAGTGGTTGTGTCAGTGGGTGTGTCAGTGGGTGTGCAGTGGGCGTGTCCCTCCCTGTCCAGGTGTGCTCTCTCTCTCTCTCTCTCAGGTGTTATCACACAGGTGTGGGTGTGTCCGTGGGTGTGTCCGTGGGCATGTCCGTGGGCGTGTCAGTGGGTGCGTCCGTGGGTGTGTCTGTGGGTGTGTCCGTGGGTGTGTCCGTGGGTGTGTCAGAGGGCGTATTCCTCCCTGCCGCGTGGTCGGTGATGGGCGGGGTCATTGATGGATGTGGTCATGGGTGTGGTCAGTGATGGGTGTGGTCATGGGAGTGGTCAGTGATGGACGTGGTCATGGGTGTGGTCATGGGTGTGGTCATGGATGGGCGTGGTCACGTGTGTGGTCAGATATTGGTATGGTCATTGTGGTCATGGATGTGGTCAGTGATGGGCGTGGTCATGGGTGTGATCATGGATGGGTGTGGTCATGGGTGTGGTCATGGATGGGTGTGGTCATGGGTGTGGTCAAGGATGGGCGTGTTCATGGGTGTGGTCAGTGATTGGTGTGGTCATGGATGTGGTCAGTGATGGGCGTGGTCATGGGTGTGATCATGGATGGGTGTGGTCATGGGTGTGGTCATGGATGGGTGTGGTCATGGGTGTGGTCAAGGATGGGCGTGTTCATGGGTGTGGTCAGTGATTGGTGTGGTCATGGATGTGGTCAGTGATGGGCGTGGTCATGGGTGTGGTCACTGATGGGTGTGGTTATGGGTGTGGCCACTGGTGGGTGTGGCCAGTGGTGGGTGTGGTCAGTGATGGGTGTGTCCCTCATCTACCCAGGTGTCAGTCTGTGTGTGGTCAGTGGGTGTGTCCGTGGGTGTGTCAGTGGGTGTGTCCGTGGGTGTGTCCGTGGGCGTGTCCCTCCCTGCCCAGGTGTGCTCTCTCTCTCTCTCAGGTGTTATCCCACAGGTGTGGGCGTGTCAGTGGGCGTGTCCATGGGTGTGTCCGTGGGCGTGTCCCTCCGTGCCCAGGTGTGCTCTCTCTCTCTCTCAGGTATTACCGCATCGCTGCCTTTGGTTATTTCGCCTTCCGGATGCGCCCCGATGACATCATCTACACCTGCCTGCCGCTCTACCACTCGGCAGGTTGTGCTTCCTCCCCCTCCTCCTCCTCCTCCCCTTGCCTTCCTCTTCCTCTTCCTCTTTTTCCTTCTCCTCCTCTTCCTCTTCCTCCTTTCCCTCTACTCTTCTTCTTCCTCCTCCTCCTTCTCCCCTCTTCTTCCTCCTCCTCTTCCTCTTTTTCCTTCTCCTCCTCTTCCTCCTCCTCCTCTCCCTCTACTCTTCTTCTTCCTCCTCCTCCTTCTCCCCTCCCTCTTCCTCCTCCTCTTCCTCTTTTTCCTTCTCCTCCTCTTCCTCCTCCTCCTCTCCCTCTACTCTTCTTCTTCCTCCTCCTCCTTCTCCCCTCCCTCTTCCTCCTCCTCTTCCTCTTTTTCCTTCTCCTCCTCTTCCTCCTCCTTCTCTCCCTCTACTCTCCTTCTTCCTCCTCCTCCTTCTCCCCTCCTTCTTCCTCCTCCTCTTCCTCTTTTTCCTTCTCCTCCTCTTCCTCTCCCTCTACTCTTCTTCTTCCTCCTCCTCCCCCCTTCCTCCTCTTCCTCCTCCTGATCATCCTCCTTCTCCTTCTCCCCTTGCCTTCCTCTTCCTCTTATTCTTCCTCTTCCTCTTTTTCCTTCTCCTCCTCTTCTTCCTCCTCCTCCTCTTCCTCTTCTTCCTCTCCCTGTCTCCTTCTCATTCTTTGCCTTCTTCCACCCCAAACCCACCCCAAATATCCCAAATAATCCACCCCAAACCCACCCCAAATTTATCCCAAATTTATCCTGAATTTATCCCAAACCCACCCCAAATATCCCAAATAATCCACCCCAAACCCACCCCGAATTTACCCCAAATTTATCCCAAATTTATCCCAAATTTATCCCAAACCCACCCCAAATATCCCAAATAATCCACCCCAAACCCATCCCAAATTTACCCCAAATTTATCCCAAACCCACCCCAAATATCCCAAATAATCCACCCAAACCCACCCCGAATTTACCCCAAATTTATCCCAATTTTGTCCTAGTTTTATACCAAATTTACCCGAAATTTATCCCAAATTTACTCCAATGTTATCCTGCATTTATCCCAAAATTTCCCAGAATTTAGCCTGAATTTATTCAGAATTTATGCCAACTTTATCCCAATTTTATCCCAAATTTACCCCAAATTCATCCCAAATTGACCCCAAATTTTTCCTGAATTTACCCCAATTTTTCCCAAATTTATCCCTAATTTTTCCAGATTCTTTCCCAAATTTATCTCAATTTTATCTGGAATTTTCCCCAATGTTCCAGGGACCATCCTGGGAGTGGGGCAGTGCCTGAATCTCCCCAAACCCACCCCAAATATCCCAAATTTGTCATGAACTTATCCCAAATTTGCTCCAAATTTTTCCCAAATTTATCCCAATTTTATTCCAAATTTATCCCTAATTTTCCCAATTTTATCCCAAATTTTATCCCAAATTTATCCCTATTTTTTCCCTATTTTTTCCCAAATTTACCCCAATTTTTTCCCAAACTTACCCCAATTTTATCCCAAATTTGTCCCCATTTTATCCCCAATTTATCCTAATTTTTTCCCAATTTTATTCCAAACTTATCCCTAATTTTCCCAATTTTATCCCCAATTTTATCCCCAATTTATCCCTATTTTTTCCCATTTTTTTCCCAAATTTACCCCAATTTTATCCCGATTTTATCTCAAATTTACCCCTAATTTTCCCAAATTTATCCCAAATTTATCCCTAATTTTTCCCAATTTTATCCCCAATTTTATCCCAAATTTATCCCTAATTTTTCCCAATTTTATCCCCAATTTTATCCCAAATTTATCCCTAATTTTTCCCAATTTTATCCCCAATTTTATCCCAAATTTATCCCTAATTTTCCCAATTTTTCCCCGTTTTTTCCCCAATTTTTTCCCGATTTTCCCCCAATTTTTCCCAATTTTTTCCAATTTTTCCCAATTTTCCCCACGTTCCAGGGAACATCATGGGGGTGGGGCAGTGCCTGAATCTCCCCAAACTCACCCCAAATATCCCAAATTTTTCCCAAATTTACCCCAATTTTATCCCAAACTTACCCCAGTTTTATCCCAAATTTGTCCCCATTTTATCCCAAATTTATCCTAATTTTTTCCCAATTTTATTCCAAATTTATCCCTATTTTTTCCCATTTTTTCCCAAATTTACCCCAATTTTATCCCAATTTTATCCCGATTTTATCTTAAATTTACCCCTAATTTTCCCAAATTTATCCTAATTTCTTCCCAATTTTATCCCAAATTTATCCCTAATTTTCCCCATTTTTTCCCAATTTTTCCCCAATTTTTCCCCAATTTTTCCCCAATTTTTCCCCAATTTTTCCCCAATTTTTCCCCAATTTTTCCCCAATTTTTCCCCAATTTTTCCCCAATTTTTCCCCAATTTTTCCCCAATTTTTCCCCAATTTTTCCCCAATTTTTCCCCAATTTTTTCCCGATTTTCCCCCAATTTTTCCCAATTTTTCCCAATTTTTCCCAATTTTCCCCACGTTCCAGGGAACATCATGGGGGTGGGGAAGTGCCTGAATCTCCCCAAACTCACCCCAAATATCCCAAATTTGTCCTGAATTTTTCCCAAATTTTTCCCAAATTTACCCCAATTTTATCCTGATTTTCCCCCAATTTTTCCCAAATTTTTCCCAATTTTCCCCCAATTTTTCCCAATTTTTCCCGATTTTCCCCACGTTCCAGGGAACATCATGGGGGTGGGGCAGTGCCTCCTGCACGGCCTCACCGTCGTCATCCGCAGGAAATTCTCGGCCTCCAGATTTTGGGACGATTGTGTCAAATATCGCTGCACGGTGAGCCCCATTTTCCCCCATTTTCCCCCATTTCCCCCCCTCATTTTCCCCCCATTTTTCCCATTTTTCCTTCATTTTTCCCCCATTTTTTCTTTTTTTTTCTCATTTCCCCCCATTTTTCTCCACTTTTTTCTCTCATTTTTCCCCACTTTTCATTCATTTTCCCCCAATTTTTTCTCCACTTTTTCCATTTTTTCTCTCATTTTTCCCCATTTTTCCTTCATTTTCCCCCAATTTTTTCTCCACTTTTTCCATTTTTTCTCTCATTTTTCCTTTTCCCCCATTTTTCATTCATTTTTTCTCTCATTTTTTCTTCATTTTTCCCCCATTTTTCCATTTTTTCTCTCATTCCCCCATTTTTTCTCCACTTTTTCTCTCATTTTTCCTTTATTTTTCCCCAATTTCTTTCATTTTTTTCTCTCATTTTTCCTTTTTTGCCCCATTCTCCTTCATTTTTTCTTCATTTTTCCCCTCATTTTCCCCATTTTTTCTCCACTTTTTCCATTTTTTCTCTCATTTTTCCTTTTCCCCCCATTTTTCCTTCATTTTTTCTCTCATTTTTCTTCATTTTATCCCATTTTTCCTCTCTTCCCCCATTTTTTCTCCACTTTTTCTCTCACTTTTCCTTTATTTTTCCCCATTTTCCTTCATTTTTCCCCCGTTTTTCCCCCATTTTTCTTCATTTTCTCCCAATTTTCCCCCAAATTCCCCCAAATTTCCCCCAATTTTTCTTTTTTTTTCTCATTTTCCCCCATTTTTCTTCATTTTCTCCCAATTTTCCCCCAAATTCCCCCAAATTTCCCCCAATTTTTCTTTTTTTTTCTCATTTTCCCCCATTTTTCTTCATTTTCTCCCAATTTTCCCCCAAATTCCCCCAAATTTCCCCCAATTTTTCTTTTTTTTTCTCATTTTCCCCCATTTTTCTTCATTTTCTCCCAATTTTCCCCCAAATTCCCCCAAATTTCCCCCAATTTTTCTTTTTTTTTCTCATTTTCCCCCATTTTTCTTCATTTTCTCCCAATTTTCCCCCAAATTCCCCCAAATTTCCCCCAATTTTTCTTTTTTTTTCTCATTTTCCCCCATTTTTCTTCATTTTCTCCCAATTTTCCCCCAAATTCCCCCAAATTTCCCCCAATTTTTCTTTTTTTTTCTCATTTTCCCCCATTTTTCCCCCATTTTTCTTCATTTTCTCCCAATTTTTTCTCAAGTTTTTCCATTTTTTCTCTCATTTTTCCTTTTCCCCCCCCCACATCTTTCCTTCATTTTCCTTCATTTTCCCCCAATTTTTCTTTTTTTTTCTCATTTTCCCCCATTTTTTCTCTACTTTTCCATTTTTTCTCTCATTTTTTTCTTCATTTTCCCCCATTTTTTCTCTCATTTCCCCCCATTTTTTCTCCACTTTTCCCATTTTTCCTCTCATTTTTCCTTTGTTTTTTCCCATTTTTTCTGCATTTTTTCATTCATTTCTCCCCTATTTCCCCCATTTTCCTCCACTTTTTCCTTTGTTTTTCCCCCATTTCCCCATTTTTCTCGCATTTTTTTCCCCATTTCCCCATTTTTCTCTCATTTTTTTCCCCATTTCCCCATTTTTCTCCCCATTTTTCCCCCAGGTGATCCAGTCCAGTCCCTGCTGGCCCAGCCTGGCCATCACCCAAAAATCCCATTTTCTCACCCAAAAAATCCCATTTTTTTGGTATTTTTTCACCCCAAAATCCCATTCTTTTCACCCAAAATCCCATTCTTTCACCCAAAAAATCCCTTTTTTTTGGTATTTTTTCACCCCAAACCCCATTTTTTCACCCCATACCCCATTTTTTCACCCCATACCCCATTTTTTCACCCCATACCCCATTTTTTCACCCCATACCCCATTTTTTCACCCCATACCCCATTTTTTCACCCCATACCCCATTTTTTCACCCCATACCCCATTTTTTCACCCCATACCCCATTTTTTCACCCCATACCCCATTTTTTCACCCCATACCCCATTTTTTCACCCCATACCCCATTTTTTCACCCCATACCCCATTTTTTCACCCCATACCCCATTTTTTCACCCCAACCCCCATTTTTTGGGGGATTTTTCCCCAAAATCCGTGTTTTTCCCCCGTTTTTCCCGCAGGTGATCCAGTCCATCAGAAGCTGTGCCGGTTCCTGCTGGCCCAGCCCGTGACTGACCCCAAACCCCATTTTTTCACCCCAAACCCCATTTTTTCACCCAAAATCCCATTTATTTTGTATTTTCTCACCCCAAACCCCATTTTTTGGGGGATTTTTCCCCAAAATCCATGTTTTTCCCCCATTTCCCTGCCCAGGTGATCCAGTCCATCAGGAGCTGTGCCGGTTCCTGCTGGCCCAGCCCGTGACTGACCCCAAACCCCATTTTTTCACCCAAAATCCCATTTATTTTGTATTTTTCCACCCCAAACCCCATTTTTTGGGGGATTTTCCCCAAAATCCGTGTTTTTCCCCCATTTCCCTGCCCAGGTGATCCAGTCCATCAGGAGCTGTGCCGGTTCCTGCTGGCCCAGCCCGTGACTGACCCCAAACCCCATTTTTTCACCCAAAATCCCATTTATTTTGTATTTTTCCACCCCAAACCCCATTTTTTGGGGGATTTTTCCCCAAAATCCATGTTTTTCCCCCATTTCCCTGCCCAGGTGATCCAGTCCATCAGGAGCTGTGCCAGTTCCTGCTGGCCCACCTTGGCCATCACCCAAAATCCCATTTTCTCACCCCAAACCCCATTTTTTCACCCAAAACCCCATTTATTTTGTATTTTTTCACCCCAAACCCCATTTTTTGGGGGATTTTTCCCCAAAATCCGTGTTTCTCCCCTATTTTTCCCCGCAGGTGATCCAGTCCATCGGGGAGCTGTGCCGGTTCCTGCTGGCCCAGCCCGTGACTGACCCAAAATCCCATTTTCTCACCCCAAATCCCATTTTTTCACTCCAAAGTCCCATTTTCTCACCCCAAACCCCATTTTTTCAGGGATTTTTCCCCAAAATCCGTGTTTTTCCCCCATTTCCCCGCCCAGGTGATCCAGTACATCGGGGAGCTGTGCCGGTTCCGCTGGCCCAGCCCGTGACTGACCCCAAACCCCATTTTTTCACCCCAAAATCCCATTTTCTCACCCCAAACCCCATTTTTTGGGGGATTTTTCCCCAAAATCCGTGTTTTTCCCCCATTTCCCCGCCCAGGTGATCCAGTCCATCGGGAGCTGTGCCGGTTCTTGCTGGCCCAGCCCGTGACTGACCCCAAACCCCATTTTTTCACCCCAAACCCCATTTTTTCACCCAAAACCCCATTTATTTTGTATTTTCTCACCCCAAACCCCATTTTTTGGGGGATTTTTCCCCAAAATCCGTGTTTTTCCCCCATTTCCCTGCCCAGGTGATCCAGTCCATCGGGAGCTGTGCCGGTTCCTGCTGGCCCAGCCCGAGACTGACCCCAAACCCCATTGTTTCACCCAAAATCCCATTTATTTTGTATTTTCTCACCCCAAACCCCATTTTTTGGGGGATTTTTCCCCAAAATCCGTGTTTTTCCCCCATTTCCCTGCCCAGGTGATCCAGTCCATCGGGAGCTGTGCCGGTTCCTGCTGGCCCAGCCCGAGACTGACCCCAAACCCCATTGTTTCACCCAAAATCCCATTTATTTTGTATTTTCTCACCCCAAACCCCATTTTTTGGGGGATTTTTCCCCAAAATCCGTGTTTTTCCCCCATTT